TGTAACCCCTGCAATGAGCAGTCATTGTCTATCAGTGTTAATTATTTCAAATATATTTAGAACATTTTATTATAAACTATATTAAATCACTTTCCATCATAAAACAAAAACTAAAAAACCTTGCAATAAGATGTAATTCTGATGTCCAAAGTAATCAGAGTGAAATTTACGCCGATTATGAACATCACATAAATATACATTTATACAAAATCCGATTATAAAATATATAATCAGTGTGACGGGAAAACAGAAAGGGATTGCAATAAATCAAAATAATAGTCAACCGGATAATGCCAAATAGGGGGGGGGGGGAGTAAGTGAAGGGGGAATGATGATAGAAACCAAGCAATGGCAGCGGCGCACGTGCAGACACCGACGGCACCACATTTGGTCAATGAATCGCCAGTGTGCTCGGAAGCGCTCTCGCTCAGTGGGCATCCTGCTAAATCACAGCACGTAGCCTGTAGGACAGCCACTGGCAGTGGAAGGGCAGGGAGAGAAATGCCAACAATGATGTGGGGGGAGAAGAACCATACAGGAAGGGAAAGAAAGAAAACCCCGTATAGTATGTACATATTGGAAATGGCACGAGCCTCATTATTCCTAGAATGTGTTTACGATTGCATTCATCGAATCAAATAAAATTCCCTAACGGTATCATGGGATCAATTCCCCAACGGTATCATGGGATCACCGGAATCATAGAATCGAGGAGGAGCCAAGACGCGGAGCCCAATGTGGTGTTCAGGTAAGATCGAAGAGCCTGTGGGAGCCTTGCCAGGCCTCATGGAATTGCCATTGAAACATAAAAAGGTTGTTGCCTATGCAGTTTGTTCTATGGCGACTATGGTCTATACTGGCCAGCTAATATGACGGTCGATTCCAGCCGGCCAGTACCGCCGCCAGAATCGCCACTGGAACATACGGCTTTGTCCTTAGCTATGCTAAGCATGGCCGAAGCTTAGCTAAGCCAGATTCGCAACAAAATCACAAAATAATCCTATTCTACTTTTCAACGCTTCCATCACAGAATCCCTGTTTGAATCACACCCATAGGAGAATCACAATTCCTGAACGGTGGAATCACAAAGTATCGAACAAGATTCGTGTATATTCATCCACTTCACATTTGTATCACAGGATTCGGATACGATTCTGGATGGAATCACCCAGCTCTGAGATACATACGCTGCAATACGTGTCCCTATGTACACGCTTAAGGCCAAGACGATGTGAATGTACGTAGGGCGGCTGTCTCAGTGGAAGCGAGGAGGAACGGCGGTCCCCTCGTGCGAGGGGCCGGCCGCACCAGCAAGCCTCCACGGGGAGCGCAGTAATGGGGACGTGCCAGCGAGCTAACCACTGGTGTCAGTTCCCTCATTAGGCGCGTCCCTCACGCGTCAACCCCAATCAATTTTACCGACACAAACTGTGCGCCCTTGCTCCCAAACTTGAAAACCACGCTCCGGGGATATAGGACCCTCCGACTCAGTTTGGATAATTGGCTCTTACTCTCGTATTGACATTTTTTGTTATTTTTAGAGGCAACGCTGATAAATCTTTTATAGGTAGGCAAAAGGTACGCTTGCTACCTTCAGAAGGCCAGAATTTGCATGAAATTGAGCTGGATCGTTTTTAAACGTGATCATAAACCGTTTCATTCTTGTAAATTCATAATAAACGTTTTTTGGTTAGATCGCGTTATTTATAAATGTGTCGTAAATTATTTTCCCCTGCCAACGCAGACTTCGAAGTGCAATCCTTAGCAACATGCATTTAATAATTGGTGTTTTACCCTTCTATCTGGCAACAAAACTGACACCTTTTTACAAGGAGTCATGTTTGCATAGACCGCAATACCTGCAGTCATAATACAAACAAAAGAACATTACTCTGATAATGTGCACTGTCCTTGAAGTTGATTGGTCCACACCCGAGACAGCTTTCCTTAGAGCCTAGTCTCACATGGGTTGGACCAGATGACGCCAAAAGGCGCACTTCAAGGACAGTGCACATTATCAGAGTTATGTTCTTTTGTTTGTATTATGACTGCAGGTATTGCGGTCTATGCAAACATGACTCCTTGTAAAAAGGTGTCAGTTTTGTTGCCAGATAGAAGGGTAAAACACCAATTATCATATTTTTACTGGCAAATGAGGTTCCCATAAAACATGCATTTACTCAGCAGGTGAACGTATGGCCATGCATTGACACATGGTAAGACCACTTTAAAATATATATAAACACTGCTGACCAATTGTCAACATAGTTTTAATATCATGCACATGATCACTGCAGTCACTTGCTTGCAAATTCCAGTTGATAACAGATTGTGGAAAAATATCATGTGAATGTGGCAATGACTTAATTTCAAGAAACAACTGCAAATTAACTTCATATGTACACCATCTTTGTCTTTTTAAATATTGATATATTATGAACAATAAAATACGCACTTTTCAGCCACAGTAAAAAAGAAGCTTCATAAGCCTCGACCTTAACCTTTTCTCAGGCCTCCAATTAACATTCATTAACAAAAAAACTAGCAACATAAAAAAACTTCTCTCGACAAAAGAGCGGAGGAAGAGAAAAAGGGGGAAAAAATACCACACAACAGAAACACAGGGACCACTGGGGAATGATCGCTCTATGGGCACATCCCTCCACTCTCGCTGCCCTGCCTTTCGCCAGCCACTGGGGAGAAACGCAGCGGACCACTGTCGCAAGAAATCTGTCCCTAGCCCAGCGGCTTCTGTTAAGTGGGGTGGGCTTGGCAGGCTGCCCAGTGTGGAAAGAATAACAGAATGGATTGGCGGTGGTCGTTTGGTTACGTTGTGCGGGGCCAGTGGTAGGGAATGTGCAGTCAGGTTGGGGTGCCTGGCGATGATTACCATCGACAGTCTTGATGCCACTTTTCTCAACAAAAACGTGTGTTCACATGCAAATCACAGAGCAGAACCAAATGCAATGCTCGTGCCCTTCCTTTAATTTGCATTCATCTGGAATCATATTTCTCCGATTCAATGTTCAGAAATGTGTCTTCAGTGTCACTGTGAATACCTTTGGTGCGAGTGCATCTCTTTTCTTGACTCTTGTGAATTGTATTTTAATACTTAATGCAATCTCTGTGTAACTGTTCCATCTTTATAAATAGTTTTGATTAGTTCTATAGATTTGCTTTTATTAAGGTCTCGGTTTGTGAAAGCTGGGATAACTCCAGCAGCTTCCACTGAATCAAATGCCTTTTTAGAGACAAAAAAATCCAGACAGTGCTATTTGATATGCATGTCGTTTCAACCACTGGATTGATCATATGTAGTCAATGGTAGAATAATTCGTTTTTAGAGCACTTATGTTTTGTTTCATTTCATTCTCGCATGTGTCACTGCCACTCTCACCAATCCCATACAACGAAGTTTGTGTCAAGTGCCACGAAGAGTGGGGAGCAGAGGAGACGGCTTGGTCCTGCACTCCTGGGGAAACTCACTCCTCCCTCTGCACTTTTCTGACCTTCCACATTGACTCCACCTCAAGGGCCTCGAATGTTCTCCTGAGCCTCGAAGTTGCTGGGGAGGTGGACTTCAAAACCTCCAATGTTTTCTGCTTAAATTTGTATGTTGAACTTCTTTCGCACCATACGCAGCCAACCATGCTAATCGGAGGTGCGGATTTCACCCACGCAGGAGACGTATATACGCATCTCATGAACATAGGTATTGCTAGCTTACCCTTTAAAGGCCGTCTAGATGTTTAAAAAAAAACACATGTGACGTACCAATCAACTGTCATTTATATTGCTGGGTGCAGACAAGAGGTGGGGAAATATAAGAAACTTGGACCAGGAGATCGGACCATCGACCTCAGGATTACAAGTCCAGTGTGCGCATCATTACATACCACGGCAGCATCATCAAACTTTCTAACATATACGCTTTTCCGTTATTAACACCTTACTTATATTTTCATGTATGCCAACAGACAGGGTGTGATATGGAGAGCGGCCTTCTCGGTATACACATCACAAAGCGTTTATCATTAAACGGGGCTGCCAGTGCCGCACTTGTTCAAAATGCGATCAAAGATAACTAAACGATCAGTAACGGGTCAATATGTGGCAGTGCCATCATTTTATTAGGTTTCCTTCCTCGTGCCTGCCAAATTGAAAGAGAACAGCATTTATGTTTCAAATCTTTTTTTCCTCTTCTTGAGAATGTGTCTCTGGCAACTTGCCTGGGTGGCCGTGCTGCACTAATGAGTCATAACGAGGGGCCTCAGGGTCATTTCCAAGGGTTGCACCCTATGGAATTTTCCAGGTCATGAATTGCCGACACAACGCTTGGGAGACAACAACAGTCACTGGCAAACAAACTGGATGCTTTGAACAACATCAAATGTGATAGTTCCTCACACGAGATGCAACGGAATGGGGAGAAACAAAGCAGGGTGTCCTGCAATTCCAACCACTGGCATTACCAAGTCTCATCCAGAATACCTGTTTATGTGTGAACGAACATGAATACCGAGTTTATTATTATTATTCTTCTTCTTCTAAAAATCCATGTTTTCATAAACAATAACATCAGAGGACAAGGGCCTTGTTTTGAAGTGCTTCTATACCATTTAGAGACCACAACTAGCCAGGCGCTTACACTTGTTCAGACACTTTAAAATACAGGCACAATTGAACTCTTTTGCTGACCACATCTATGAATTGCGTACACAGAAGTAACATTTCATGTAAATAATGTCATTCCAACTAAGACCTAATTTAATTCACTGGAAGTATAGCACCAGACTACCGGCACCATTATCCCATTTCAAAAATAGCACTTTCCAATAGACGCTCGGGTAAGGCTTATTATTGATAATTGTTTAGTAATTCCTCAAGTTCGTCCACCTCTGTACCCTACCTGCTGCTACGCACTGGGTAACACACACCCTCATCATTCGGAGGCCGTCACCCCCACCCCAGCACCCTCCTCCCAGACGCTGGCGCTTACCGTCGTAGTAGACGATAGCACCAACAAGCTTGTCCCGCTTCAGCATGGGGAAGAACTCCAGAGCCCGGCTCTTGCTGATCAGGTAGCTGCTTCGAAGGCACTGGCTGCCAGCAACCAGGTCATACATCTTAATCCCAAACCAGTAATAGGGCAGCTGCCACCATCTGCCAGAAAAAAAGAGGCAAGCAGACGAAGGCAAACAGCCATGTGAGCGGGCGAGTGGCACGGTATGATTGACGTAGACTTATCAGATGTTGCTACTCCACCGAGCGATATGAAAGAATATGAAGAAATAAACATTAGCCACCCAATGCGAAAGCACAAACACTTTGTCGTATACAGCAAAGAAAGCACAATAAGGTATTGTCCTGCAACATTTGTGGGTGGCATTAACAACTGAACCGTAGACCCCATGTAAACTGGATTCAGTGGCTGATATAATGAGCACAAGGCAATGCACAACTCAATGCATTTGGAGAAATTGGAAACAGCTTCTTTGAAAAAATTATACACATTTACTACGTAGGATTTCAAGGTTGCACTGTATAGCACCATGATGTGTCTTTGGGTTGTACCGCGTGATGTTTGGAATTACGCCCAATGTTTCACTCCGCATGCTGGAAGCTTCTTCAGGAGGTGAATGAATGTCGATTCACTTCCTCGATAAGCTCCCAACACACGGAGCAAAACGTCAGACAATGTGCCAAAGAATAAAAGGATTAGCCAGATCAATTGTCACCAAAACTGTCGCGCCAGAGTTAGCATTCATCGCAGGATCACTTTCCATTGGTTGTATTTAGATCCGCCCACTGCCCGTAAACTCCGCCCCACTGCCCGATAGCTCCGCCCCACTGGGCAGTCCTCGCCAAGGTTTTACCTAGCACCGACAGGGTTGGCAAAATGCAAAGATGAGACTTTTTATGACATGTTGCAGACCCGTGCGCCTATGAATAAACTCCACCAGTCCAGCTGAACTCTGTTTCTGGATCCTCTTTACAGCATTGTGCAAGCGTGATCGTTTTAAATATAGGGGACAGAACTCAACTCACACTCCGAGACCTCCGGGTGACAGGTGGTTTAAAATTGTGAATTATTATCACAACGCAGCGCATTACACATCACTGGGCATTTCTGGCCAGTAACGTATTAGCAGACAAGCTAGACGGCACAACCTGAAGCCTCATTAGAGCAATCACACCTACATTGGCGGCACACACTCAACTAAACTGATTTACCATGAAACAACACTGCGCTCAACAGTGAGTGGATGCCATGAAAATAGTTTTACCATTCTAATTACACGATGGCAGTGAGAAACTAGGCACCAGCCTCTACTGCCATATTGTTACACGCACGTTGCATTCGGAGCAACGGAGCCCAAGTCATCTCCACGGCAATTTAAGTTGACCGTGCTTCATACATAGTGTTTAACCCACAGAAAACTGGACGTGACTTGTGATGAAAAAAAACATGACACATCTTGAGTCTTTATGGCATTGCAAGATTTTTTCTCTCTCTACAGCTGTTAAATAATTTAATTTAACGAAGAAACTAGATAATGCTGAAATATAGAGAGGCGTTGGGGGGGGGGATTGGCAAATTATATATTGACACATTACAATCATGTGTTTCATGTAATGCTGTGGATTTGCAGCAAAAGGCGGTTTATTAATAAAGTGGCAATTTGAAAGAGCCGCATATAGAGGGCAGCAGGGTGTTGGACTAGAAAAGTTCCCTTATGATAGAGGTGTCACATCAATTCATTGATTCATATCTATTCTTATTCTCACCACACATGCATTGAAGTGTGTGCATACACACCTACGTATTTTGATTCTTCAATGTTGTATGTAATTGGTTTTATTACCCCTCTCTCCAGCCACTAAAGGCTGCTATATTCACCAGAATGCTAAAAGAGAGAATTGGTGCTGAATCCAATTGTGGCAATTTATTGAATCGCAAAAAAGGGACATTTTGTTACTCATTTCGAATTTTTTCCCTTTGTAAAATATAGGGTAATCCATTTCTCCTCGGCAGCTGATTGAATATTGTGAAGCGATGACTCTATCGTATTTTGCAAATGAGAGTGTTAAAATATATTTCCAGTGCATTGACATTAGTGAGAAACACGTAGAGGCTTTAATATAAAGTGTAGTTTTTCCCTACAATTCCTCCCTGTTGTTTTGGTCGGGTATCTATAAAGAGACAACCCTGCATCATAATGGTAATTCTTTCACGTGTAGGTGAAAATCTTTTAAAATCTTCTGCAAAGCAACAAATTCAATCTCCCATCTGTATTACTTTATATTTACAAAACCGAATTGCTTTTGGAAAAGTGTGTCTCCTTGTCCGACTCCCCTTCTGAATGTTTTTTTTCTCGCAATCTCAGTGGAGCTCTACCAATTTTCATAACTGGTTTTTATTACCTAAAACTTGTTATTTATTTATGCCTTTGTAACACCTTGCTTGGATGGTTGCATCTATTTCCACGACATCAAATGTCTTTTCATAGTCAACAAAGATGATGCTTAATGGTATTTGATATTCAATAGTCTCCATTTACTCACTCAGTGATGTACTTAATAATATTAGGCCATATTGTAATCAACTCTAAAATATTTCTTCTCATCTTATTGTATATACCTTAACTTCACAAACTATACAGATACTACAAGCCTCTTGGAAAACCAAAAACGATCATTTGCATTTCGTATTTGTATTTACGAAACAATTTTAGTGATTACCCCTCATGTAAAACAATTGTAAAATGAAACAAAATATAATGCACATGGTAAAATGAACACACTAAAAAACCCACCATCATTATATTCATTATGCTGGCTAACACAGCATGAAGTTCCCTCCCGCGAATGCATTTGCACGATCGCTGCATAGAAAGTGCACCTGAAGTAAAGCTCTCACCAGCTGTGGTGTCAAAGAATGGGGTCGATCTCAGCTGCACATTCTATACAACAAAAATTATTATCCTCTCATGCACGAGGTTTCTATTGAAAGAGTTAGGCATCCATGCATGTGCCTAGGACACTGCCCTTGATAGGTGATTAATGTGGCTCAGTATTCATCATGATCTATCCACTACTGGATAAAGGTCTTCCCAAGTCATCATCAATTGTTTCAAGGTCTTGCAAAGAAAAAACCCATCTATTAGCTCCTGCAAAGAAGCTGAATTTCATCACTCCATCTCCACGGTGGACATTGCTGGAGTCCATTTCAATGGTCGTTATAATTAACCAGGTCATCGTTAAATTTGAAATATTTAATGTTTTTTACAAGAATATGTATGCTCTAATACAATATTTAGAGAACATCTTCGGTGCCACTGTGAATAACTTTGGGCAATAATGGCACCTTGTCTGACGAGTTGTTTTGGTACATTCATGTCCCCTTAATGTGGATGTTTAATTTTGATGGTTTTCATGATCTCTAAATCTTTATAATTTAGGCAGTTTGTGACAGCAGGGATGACTGGGTAATTTCTACCGAGTCAAATGATTATTTTTAATAGTCTACAAAGGCTAGGTACACTGTTAATTAAAATGTGTTCGTGTTAGGCACATCTATTGAATTTCCATTTGTGCTCTACGTACTACATTCCGCGTAAACACTTTGAGAAGTGTTTAAGAACATGAAACATTTGCCCAAGTCACCAATGCAACAAGCTAGTTAAAAGCACAGTTGTCCTATGGATATAGAAGGATCTCTCACCATGGCAATGTGGAATTCACACCATCGGCACAGGATGGTCACGGAGATGAGCATAGTCCAAATGTTCGTTTGAAAATTGATATATTTTGACTTCTCAGTAATAATTACAATAACATTAACACAAGTAATACATTCAGGAAAATATGAACAAGTATTAAGGCTAATTTGAGGAGCGCCTTGCATAAGTTGAAGAGTGAATGATTTAACCCTAAAGCTATGATGTGTTTGGGCACAGATCAACCTCCATACATTATCCCACATCACACAGACTCTAAAAAACGTACACTGGTTACCAATAAAAATACAGAATACACTTCAAAATCATCATATTAACATACAAATCAACACACAACCAAGCTCCACCTTACATCAGAAACGTCATACAGATCAAGCAAAAACCACGGATCACTTCGCTCCGCAACCCAAACACTTCTCCAAACACACAAAACCAATCACAAAACCACGGGGACAGATCTCTCTCAGCACCACACCTCTGGAACAACCTCCCCAAATCCATTTGCACAGTCGACTCCATCGCCACATTCACAGTCATAACCCAACAACGCATCTCTTTGCACTTGCATACGACAGCTGATGGCCACAACTTGATGTTTTTTTTTAAACAACTATAGATAGTATTGATTTGAAGCTTTCATGACTGCAGGAATCCATACTCTTTGGTTCTTTCGGTAAAGTCACGTGGGTAGAAAAATAAAATAAAAGCAAAAAGAATATATCACGACGTTTCGATCGCAACACAAGTGGTCGTCCCCAGGCGGAAAAAATAATCCAGCAGTGGACTGCTGAACCAGCGAGAAAGCTGTTTCTTTCCAGCTCAGACCCCGCTTGCTTGCCCATCGCCACATTTATAACCTCTTGTTGTAACAGCTTTCTCGCTGGTTCAGCAGTTCCACTGCTGGATTATTTTTTCTGCCTGAGGACGACCGCTTGTGTTGCGATCGAAACGCCGTGATATATTATTTTTTGTTTTATTTTATTTTTTTACCCACGTGACTTTACCGAAAGAACCAAAGAGTATAAATAGTATATTTTGAATATAATTGTTTATGTGTACGAGTACATTAATTAATGTGATGGCACTTTTAAGTGGAAGATTTTTTGCCAGAAAGGTGCCACGTGTTTCACAAAAATAAAATTGACTTAATTATCACGGGGGTTAACCTCACTTGTAGACAGGCAGCATAATCGGCAGTGGGGTGGAGAGATGAGGTGCAATCTCCAGCAAGTTGGCTCGTTCGTGAAGAGCCTCCTTCACCATGCGATACTGACTCACGGGGAACACAAACACAACGATCCTCAATATAACTTTAACAGAATTCTTAGTGAGTAACATCTATGAAGGCCGGCATAGCACACAAGGAGGTGGCCAACACCACACCCGGCCGCCTTTGTCTCCATAGTGCTTATGTTTACACAATGCACAAGTTACTCATTAAAGGCGCAGTCAACTAAGGGGAGGCCCCAGGACCAGTTCAAATATTCACCAGTTTCTGGCAGTGAGCAGGACTGATCTCAGGTCACCAGGTTTGTAGTGCAGAGCACTAATCACTATACTTCCACTCCCAAATGATAAAGATCCAGCGTTTAGCCTTCCAGACTGTTGGGGCAAGTGCTGTTAGCAAGCACCTACGAAGGCCAGAACGGTAAACGAGGGGGTGGGTGCACAGCAACTCGATCGGCCAACTTTTTCTTCCGAGTGGTGATGTTTACAAACTGCACCAGCTACTCATTTGAGACTGCATCGATCTAGGGTAGGCCCAGGACCGATTCAGATAATGGTCACTGGTGTTGGACGTGGCGCGGGAATCAAACTCTGGTGGCCGGGTTTGTTGCGCAGTGCGCTGACCGCTACACCGCTCCCCACACATGCACACACGGGAGTCACACAGAACTTCAATGTCTACCGCCACAGGATTTTCAACTCAGCCAGCCAGGCAAGCAGTTCTAGCACAACAATGTGAATGTACACAATGTGTCGAGCACGTGCACCGTGAGGAGCTCTCAATGCGTGTGGGGGTGGGAGAATGAGAATGGATAAACAATGGGAAAAATACAAGTTGCCATTAGGACTTCATCAATCCAGATACTGAGTATAATGGTTTTAAATCTGCATTACATTCAGGAAATATTGTTCAGACAATTATATCCCAGCTTCTTGCACACTGCCCAAAGAATGTGCTTATATCATAAACAGTTTTTCTTTATTGTATTTTATTGCAATTATAATTTTGGATACTTTTTTTAATTTCCATGATTAAAAGCTTACAATTGTGAAAAGATACGTGACATCTACTTCGCGTGGCAATCTGCTGTCACGTACGTGGTTTACATTTGAACCTTATGGCGGGACCCCGGGGTCCCATAAGCCCCCGGCTCTCGCATAAACATGATATTATAATGTAAACAAATACTTTACTCTTTTTCACCAATGGGTTTGAAGGATGGTGGCAAGTGTTGTCTTGTTAAATTATGCCTTTAAAACTGAAAACTACTTACCTGCAGTACCTCTATTTAAATACACTATCGAAAAAATTATTTACACCCCTCTGTCAATCATCGTGTTTCTCAGTGTGGATTTGTGAACACACTTTGTAAACAGTACATAAAATAGTACGCGTTTTCAATGCGCTGTTCATATTGTAACAAGCTTTTATACCAATCTTACTCTACAGAGTAGTGGGTCGCAGCTCCTCTTATCCGCATTGATATGAGAGGTATGTGGGGACTATGGCTTAACGGAAAAAAAACCTATCTCCATAGATGCATAAGGACAAGAGAAGTATTATCAAACAGGAAGAATTAACGGTGCAACGCATTTCATCTGTTAAATATCTGCAGGTAATAGAATTGTCATCGACTGATCCTGCTGCAGACATTGGTAGGTCAAGAATAATAATGAAGATAAGAGAGCAATTTCACTGTATTATGCATCCCGTGATGACAAATAAAGTACTTAAGTCGTGTAGGCAGTTTGAGCAGCTTTGGCTAAGACTTAATATGATCCTGCCCATACCCAAGCGTGGAGTGTATTTGCTTGTTCAGCTCTTCTGCGCATTCGTCCTTGCTGCTGCGCTTGGACGACATGACAACAGAATGATCCGCGCCAGGTGGGTCGCGACGTTTATGTGTGCGGTGGGATGGAGTCGCCAAAAAGAAATGAATTAATTACTATTATGACTTCTGCTTATTCGAGACCCGGGGTCCCGCCATAAGGTTCATTTAACCTTAGCTAAAGCCTGCCTTTGTCTCGCGAAGGGATACAATTGTAAATACGCTTACAGCAGCCTTGCAATACAAGCCTGTGAATGTTACAAATCCAATGCACGAATAGACGCGAACCTGCTCAGTGTCCAGCCTCATGATGGCTTTCTGGAGATACCGGACACCCCCATGAATGAGCTTTGTGCTGCGGCTGCTTGTCCCAGAGGAGAAGTCATTTTTCTCAACCAACGCCGTCTTCAAACCTGACAGCGGGAGGAGCAGACGGCCACAGGCAGAGATCATCACCACCCAAGCGATTCGGGATGCACATCTCACCAACATTATACAAGGATCGTTTAGGTGACATTTTATCATCATCAGCAGCCATGATTAATCCACTGCTGGATTAAGGCCTTCCCAAGCTGCCGTCGTCATCTCTTCATTGTCTCACGATGCCGAGCGGTAATTATGCAGTTTTATTCAAGTCGGTGAGATTAGATCAGCAGTACTGGGCAACGGCTCTCGTTAAGACGACCACCCCACACCAATGAAAGATTAATCATATTGAATATAAATGAAAGTTAAATTAACTGAAATCAGTTACTACTTAAATGTATATGAGTTTACGTCTACGATATGTCAACAAATGCATTGAACAACCATGGTGACACAGATGATATCTATGTTGATATAAAATACATCAAATCGATATCAAAAAGACAAGTAATAAGCAACTGAAAGACATCCATGGCATTCAATGTGTTTTTTTTTAGTTCATGAATTGATATGCTTGTTGGTGGAAAATTAATAAATAATTGTCTGTTTCTTTTTAAATGCTTCATCATTATAACAATAGTGCTGGCATCCCACCCTGGGCTCTGGACTGGAATCGTTTAGCAGCAAAAGAAAAAAAACCGAGGCCTGTGAGAGTGCACGCCTTGCCTACAGCAAACAGAGTGGCGCTCGGCAAAACCCAGATGTTACCATTATTAGACTTGGATAAGTTTCAACTATCATCTGCTCAGCCCTCACTGCCATCCGGCTTCGAGGTTGGTGGTTATTTTTAGCGCGGTGTGATGGCAGTTTGAACATGTTTTAAGTCAGTTTTATAAACCCGTGCTAGCAGAGGAGTCAATGAGTCAAAAAGCCGTTAGCAACAGGAAATTGACTTCAGACACAGATAAAAACATCAACGTGACGAACACGTACCACAAACAATAAAGGCAATGATGTTCATCGTTACCTAAATTTAACAATAGAAAGAAAGCTTCAAAATAATACCAGTTGGTTTACACAACAATGCTTTAAGGTGTTTGGCCAATAAAAGAATTTAAAATCCATAATTTGCACTCCTGCATTAAAAATTTTTTATAAAAGCCAACGCAGAATTAACTCTTCGAAATAATACAATAAAATCTATCCTGCGGAAACAACAAAGCTTCTCGAGGAGCGTTCTTCGCCTTTGCCGCACGGCTTTTTAAGAGGCGTTCACGCATGTCGCACGGCTGCGAGTGCGGCCGGCGTCTCTCTCCCTGGAGCCACTCGCTCGCTTGCCTCGCGTGACGGAGTCAAGCGCGCAGCCGCAGCCTGTGGCGCCCCCGCCAATGACGAGGACGTCAAACTGCTTGGTGGTGTGCAGGCTGATGAGCTGGGCGTCGCGCGATGGCATCCCTGAAGGGGGCAGCTCGTGGGTCAAGCGCTCGGCAGCCGCCACACTCCTGAGTTGCGCCTGCACGAGAACGATCAACGCTCAGCCGCAGCGGAGAGCCCAGCACGGACGACGGCGATGCAAGCGCGTCGCGCCTTTTGACGCATATATTAAATCATTGTCACACGCGATGTCCGTTAAATGAGATTCAGTCTTTTTGTGAAGGTGGAGCGGTGGAGTCGTTGGTGCTACTGCGCTATGAACCCAGCCACGTAAGTAAATTCGATTGCCAGTCGTCGATCATTTTGGCGGTGAATGGTATCTGAAAGAGTCCCGGACTGCCGTTTAACAAACCTCCACCAACTCACGTGGTGGTGGTGGAGGTGAAGTATGTTCAATACAATTTCCAAGGACAACACAGCGTGGAGAAGACTTCATCCAGCGGTGGACTGACAAAGGGCCGTAATTTTGTATTCCTTTGATTTTAATATTAACAGCATCATATACATGTTATTACAGCCTCTGGTCATTTCACAGCTGGATGAGGGGCTCTCCACACTGTCAGCCATGGGGATTATTTGACCATACTTCATCACGTTGGTAAGTGCAGGTTACTAAAGTGGGAATGGGGTTTGGGAGGGGGAGGGAGGCAGAACTGCTCCAAAGATCAATCTCCACTGAAGTAACCCATGGCTGGGGACTGAAATTCAGGTTGTCAGGTTCACACTGCAATCTGTTAGGCACCGAGCCACTGGTGTGCCCTAGCCATATACGATGGCTGTGCACAATTCATTTTCTTATTTGTGTGTAGGTTTTAAATAACCTCGCTTAGTTTTGGAATCGTGTCATGGGCAATTTAGAATGTTGTGATTTCAACTGGGACCCAGTACACAATGGCCTGCTGCTGACAACGCAGTCAACCGGCTGTTTAACAGATATTGGTGCAGAGGAATTGCCCAATGCAACTCCTGGCCAAATGTGGGAGTCAATCTACAATAATACTTTTTTTCAAATTCACAAAACTAACGGACGTTAATGCTGACTCGTCTTACCAGCTAGCTGTGCACATTTAAAACATCTCGCAGTGGCAAGATGTTAACTACCTTACCTGACTACTGTCTATTTGGAGTTTGCATGTTCTCCCTTTCGGTCACGTGGATTTTTCTCCAGGCCCTCCAGTTTTTCCCTCCACATTTAGAATCAACATGCTTTTAGATTATTTGGCTGCTATAACATCCCACGTGATGACAAGCCACTTCGCTGAGCTATGATTTGTGGCCAGGTCGCTTCTGCTAAAAGAGCTATAAAGCTCAGTAGGCCTTACCTGGTAAAATTTTAATAGTTTATTAAATAGTTGTATAGTTTAAAACACCTTTGAAAAGACAAGTCGCTTGATTTGTGTTCATCTACACTGCCTAATCGTACCAGGCCAACCATATATAGCATTTACTTAAAATATTAACTATTTAACTAAGTGCATTATGTGAACAAATGCAATAAATATCCTGTTCTGGATGGTATTTCAAAGCCAGAAAAATAAATTATAAGCTAAACAATCAAGATTATTTTAATTGTCTTTGCTAATCCCAGAAATGGAACAAAAATTACATGTTATAATAGGGTTTAATTGTACAACAATACAAATTAAATTAGTGCAGTGGAAATAATTATGACCTACATTAAAAAAATGTATGAGAGTCCTCATATGCCTAATCTTAACAAGAATTTACGCTAATCTTCACATTAATGCTACAGCAGTTTAATTAAACATAACTGTGTAAGTAACTGATTACCATATGTTTGAAGAACAAAAGTACAAAAGTAGGCCCTGCTACAATTCTTCACAATACCGTATATTCGCATTTTTAAAAAACAAATATCAGTAAATTAAAGAGAAAAAGTAGCATTCATATGAATGAATATTAAACAACCTAAAAACTATTTTTTTTAGTAAAGAATAAGCTTCAAAAATTTGATTAGACAATGCAAATTGACTTGTGTAATTAATCACATCATTTTATCTACAAATGAAGAAAAAATGTATTGTCTTCTTTACATTCATAAAATAACTTATGGCTAATAAAGTAATGTTAATTATGGTTATGTAAGAGTAAATGTGAAGTTTACAAACCACGTTCAACATATGTGCGGCGCTACGACTTATCAGAAAAGTTTTACATGGGGGGAGTAATTTTCCATCCATTCCAACGTTTGGACTTGCTTCAAACTTTCGGCAGACCCTGCGCGTCTGCTCTTGTTTACCTCCCCATTACGCATAGGATGTTCTGGAATTTATAAATACCAAAAACATGCGAAGTCCACGGTTCTGGAAATACCAAATATAAAATGTTCAAACTTTCACATACGTTTTAAATTAATGACCGCAGCATGTTGCTAATATCAGACGTCAAACAGACCATGTTCCACTTCCCTTCGCTTGTGCCGCACGTTAAACGAACTGCGAGAGATCACAGCGAGTGCCTTTGTGGTCGAAAGCACGAAGGGGCCGTGGTGACTTTTTCCCGGCTCTGCAGAGGGCGGCAGCTGCTGGACAGACGCTGCCTTGTCTCATAGCATCCTCTGACCCACGCGCGGGTTTCCCTGTGACGTTGTAAGAAATCTCTCCTCGGGTACACCCACCTTGTGCTTCTTATATTCCATGAGCTCCGAGAGTCCATACACAGTGACGAGCGCCCCTCCGGCTGTAAGCAGGCTTCCTGTCACCACTTTGCGGAACGCCATGATTGCTACTTTTTTTTGCAGACACACGCAGACACGCACACGTGTGCGCGCACACACACACACACACGCGTGAAACAAAAAAATAAGCTGAGGTCAACGTCGCGCATATGAGAGCCTGGTCAAAGAGTTTAGAATGAGATATGAACACGCAAGGCATAATTTGAATCCTCCATCTCTGTGTCTAAATAATTGATTATGGGATACAATATTGAGGATTAGGTAATAAACGTGACCTTGTGTATACCTTTAGTATCCTATTCTTGGAAATCGCAATCTTTCAACAAGGAAATTGTGATATTTATATTATAGACGAGCAGAATATTTCTGCGCTACCAAAATAAGCACCGGAAACGGAATCTTGATTTATCCTGGAAAAATCGGATGAGCTATCAAGCTCTCTTTCCCAGAGCTCCGGTAGTTGACTCTTTGTATAACAAGGTGTATGATTTTAGTTCATGGCAGTCACCCATTGGAAATTAATTCAATCCAATCATATAGAAAACAAAGATTTTAAAATCTCCGGTGTGTGACTGTGGTGACCCAGAACAGACCGTGAGACATTTAACAACTCAATGCCCGATTCGCAAATACAAAGGAGGCATCACAACGATAGCCTCCGCTACCCCTGACACAATTGTCTGGTTCAACCATACCAATGTAATATTTTATAGTTGTTGCTCGACATCAACATCAACCAAATGAAAAATGAGAACGTGCAGTAGTGATAACCATGTGGTAGTATATATTTAACTACTCTTATACGCGGCCAAGGCAGAGCCAACCGTGCTAAACTTTAACGAGCACACAACGATAAATAATAACACTGGCAAATGAGGTTCCAATGGTGGAATAATAACACTGTTTAAAAAGCATGTAAAAGTACTCCATCATTCCGATGTCCAGGTCAGCTGGTTGTATCTGTTTCCCCAGGAGCGGTCAATGAATAGCGGGAATATTCGGCACACACCACATCAGTCATCAGAAATCATTGTCTGGTTATATAACGCGACAAAAGCAGCATTAACCATGGTAAACGCTTACACGCTGCTCTGAGGTTTCAATTGACTGCCAGGCCCACATTAGCCATTTTAACATGCATACTTACACACATAAACAATTATGTACACACACTGTGTCAGTCCTACGGGTGTAAGGAATGCGACTGTTTCACAAAATCAGACGCTTCATTTGTATGTATTGCTCACAGTTTGTGTAATTTGAGCCGGAGAAATACAAAACGTACAGATCTGAAATGTAGATGGATTTTTTTAAATTTTGAATTTTTTTATATTACATCTTTATTTGGCATGCTATTTGACCACGTTACAAAATGTTATACTTACAAAAACACAACATGGAATTCCTTTTAATACACCAACAAGCAATTGTAATATCAAACATATCAATACATTGAGAAAGTATGCGTTTAAAAACGATACTGCAAGGCCATTAATTGACAAGCTGAAATAAGACACTTCTGCTTAATCAATCAAATATTTGAAGAACAATTATCACTGCGATCATACATTCTCATTAAGTGTTGTTAAAACCGAATACTGGTGAAAAGGCGGTAGACTTTTGATTAGAATTTTTAAACAAATTACAGATTCTATATTAATTCGTTTGAACAGTATTTACTTTATCATTGAACAAAAACGAATGGTCAAATATAATGTAGATATGAAACTAAGCATTTTGCTGCTAAAGGGTAATTGTGATCAACGTCTCGCAGACAAAAGGTCAATAAAGGTGAACCACCCCCATGTAAATATACAAAGGATATCCGTATTTCACAGAATTCCTTTGTCAAGAGTGGCTTAGTGATGATGACAATGCAATTATTGGTTGATTGGCCAGAGACTCCTGAGTTGAAGTCCCGGGACTCCTGAGTTGAAGTCCCGGGAAGACCCAAGAAGGAGTGTTTAGATGCTGTAATTGAAATTAGTTAAGATAAAACAGACTGTGCAAGGAATACGTATAGATCGCACATGCATGGATTCCAGAACTCGTTCCAACTCACGTTTGTCCTCAGAGGTATTTAACTGGTAATAATAGTTTACATTTCAAACCACAGAAGATAACGTCACCACAGCGTAATGACGGGTGGCGTCGAGCAAGGAATGATACCATCAGGAGGGTAGGGGGAGATGCTTCCTTTTACCGCTGGATTTTGTCTCCAAGTGTTTGGAAACCCTTTGATCAATGTGGCCGGTTTTTCTATTGAGTAAGTCCATAATAGCAAGAACACTTGATACAGTACTACAGTTTGGTTCAAATTGTAATCATCCTTACGAGAGTTATTGTGCTTCCCCTCTCCACACCACCACCACCACCCACTCTTCAGACAGATGGACGGAGATGTGCATAAAAATATCGTATTTATTTGGTGACCATGACTTATACAGGCTCAAGGGGCACCTCGTGTCACTCAGATTTCGGACAATGTTTAAACACACCATGTAAACCGACTATGATAAATCACCTCGTGTATGGAGAAGCAAGGCCTTTCCCCATTTTAACTTCCATGTTGCACACTGTACACATGTCGAACACGCACCAAATGTTCCCTTATTAAGTTGAAATATCCGCCTGGCGTATGTTCAGGGGCGAAGACATTGCAACCACTGTTTTTAACAGTACTTGATTGTTTATTACAGCAGTTGTATTGTGCGGGGATGGATGGAGAACAACGTGCACCGTGTTTTACAAGTTGTGGATTCACAACGGAGTGTGCAAGGCTGCTGAAAAGAAATCTACATTTCCCACTCCCCTACCAAAAAAGACTCGCTTAGAGCCCACGATACCTACAACATACACAAAGATTTCCCATATATCTTTAACAGATTGTTAGGGCAAGTGAAGGCCGGCACAGCACACGAGGGGGTGGATGGCCAACACCAAGCCAGGGCCGCCTTCGTCTCGCCAGTGGCAATGTTAACACACTATAGCAGGTACTCATTTGAGTCTGAGTCGACCTAGAGGAGGCCCAGGACCGGTTCAAATAATCGTCACTGGTGTTGGCCGTGAGCAGAAATCGAACTTGGGTCGCCGAGTTCATAGCGCATTGCGCTAACCACTACAGAACCACTCCCCACATGATATCTATCACAAACTTGCCAACCCTAAAGACCTAACAACAAAAACCTCAATGCATTTGACAATAAGGCTGCCTTAAAACAAAGAAAGATTAATTATATATAATCGATGATGCTTCAGGCTGTGGTCCTTATTCACAGGACATAAATCGCCAATTTAAGCAGCAGGCTCTTGATGGTTTTTAAACAAATTTTTCTTCTATACCGAATTTCAAAGAGTTTAAACTAAATGCTGTTTTTGTTTGAAAACCTTTCGCTTTTAAATATTGGTACGTGGTAAAATGACGGATTTAACTATCGGCAGCATACCACAAAAATCAGCCAGGTTGGTGGGTATTGCATACAGCACATTTTTTATATAAACATTCACACTGCAGTACCAGATATAATCAATATGCAAGGTAACTACGGGGAATATTAGCTCATTTTGTCTCCGAGTACAACATGTCCATTTTAGAAATCAGCAAATCCACTCCAAGCATAAAGACAGAGCATAAACTTAGAGGCATCATCAACTGGCAGAATAAACCCACGTGTCAATGAGTGTCTTCAATTGCCCACTATTCCCCCACCACCCCACCACCCCTGCTCCCCAGCTGTGAATAAATGAAGTCATGATTAAGGTTCACGATTAAACTTTAAAAAAAGTCTCGCCAAATATCTATTTTGTATGAGAAATGTATTATGTCTCGTTTGTACTTTTGTTCTCTCCATATGCCTAAATGTAACATTAGCTATGTGAATTATAAACTTGAATTTTCAAAAATCGAAATAATGAAATCTTCTTTGGTGTTCATTTTGGGTGTACGAACCAGTTTTAAGTGATGAATGGATGATGCATCACTATGTGCCAAGTGACCAAGCAGCTCCATGTTTGTTTCAAGAATCGCTGGGGCGAGAGATGGATGCAGGTGCAGTCCAGGCAATGCTCATAATTTGACCGACTGTGCTGTCCTCAAGATATCAGCATCTTCAGCCAATGAATCCACTGCTGGATATAGGCCTTCTAAAACTGCCGCCACCTCTCACGATCTCGCGATGTAATAATGAATCGACCGAGAACCAGCGCAAGAGCTGACTTCATCGCTCCATCTCCTCGGTTGCCAAACCCCTTGGACACGGTTCCATTCCTTGGATGCCACTTGGCCATTTTATTCATGATTATCGGCTGCCATCCCTTCTCACGACGTGCTGCGCCTAAACCCACTTCTCGTAATAATCCGAATGTGAGATTTACTGATTTTAACAAAAATGCCCCAATGAATTGAAATTGCTTGCAGGGCCCCCGGAGCCTTAAACGTAGCCTGTAAACGTTGCCAGTTAACACAAATGACTTGTCAGCGCACGCAGCTGGTGTTATTTATCGTGTAGCCGAGGTTTTTTTAATACTAATAATGCACATGAATTATGTGGCAAATTATACTGATTTACGTTAAATTTTCTACTTCTGTAAATTTTTTTAATTGAGATATCTTGTACCTTACTTTGTTGGCACACTTTGTTCGGTGTTAATGATGTTCTGTTTTAGAGTCCCAGGTCTCCCTTGAAAAAAAAGACGCGTTCGTGTTCATCGGCTCTCACCTGGTCATAAAGTTCGTGCACGCCGTGTGTGTCCCGTTCGAGTGCGACCGCCACACAGCGTTGTTTAAGAGGTAAACTGATATTTTTGAGCCCTCAGCATATTCCTGACTTTTGTAAATGGCAGATTAATGTATGTGGAATAAGCAGATTATTCTACCCAATATAACACCCATAACAAATATATAAGACACTCTTGATAATACCCCCATTGAGGTATTACCTAATACAGCGACTGTACAATAAAGAACACAAACTGTGCACTCTGTGAATTACACCTACATTTATGTAACACAAATGTAAACAAAAAACACTCATTTACAACTCAACTGCAC